AAAGCTCAAGAACGCCAGGGTTGTTGTCTACTGAGAGGAGGCCAAAAGGTTGTTTGACATGTTAGACGTTTGATCGGTAAAGTCCCAAGCTGACTCACGTCAAGTGACATGGGTTATAGTCAAGAAAGACATAACACAACAGCTAGCCCTTGGAGCCAACCTCTCCACTGCCCTTGTCGTCACTGTGCTTGTGGCAAGACTTTGGACAGAGGCGCCTACCAATTATCGATCAACCAACAGCCTTACCTAGAGCACAGCCTTACCTGGAGAACCGCACCATTACGGCCTCTGGAATACGATGGTGTGCAGTTGTGCAAACACACAGACCAGGTGTTGGGGTGATGTGTGACGAGCACCTGCCAGGTCGCAGGAATCGGCGACAGGGATTTCCGGAACGGAGCGGAGGGGCAGCCGGGTGATGTGGCCCGCCTTTCTGTACATCATCCCCGGATTCCACAACATAGTGGGTCAAAACGCCGGGTTTGGGCCGAATCATGAACGCCACCTTTCTCAGAGTGGGAGATGCTATGGATACTGCCCAGCCTTGTGTGCCTGGAAGACGCCGAAGGAGGGCACATGTAGCGGCCATGTGAAAACGCAAGTTCACAGGATCCACAGGGCCGCAGACTGGTTCGGGCTAGGGTTCCGTTGAGGTAATTTACCGAACGGTAATTTACCTATCTTTTCGAGGTTTTTGACGTCAGAAACTTCTGGGTATTTTACATATCAAAAAAATCTCATTGGCTGATGTCCCATATCAGCTCCACTATTTCCCCGATCAGTCCCTTACAACAATAGAGTCTTGGAAGCCGCATCATGATGACATTTGCGGTGTACGCTGATTTTGATGACACTAAACCTATTTCATGCATACGCTAGTCCTAATATAGTAATACAGGGATATCAATCACCTGACGACGTGGCTCTGCGGGAGGTGTTAACTGGATGAAGGAGGGAATGAGCCCTGTCGCGGACTGTTCAGTAGTTCATGCATCCCTGCCAGCAAAGCCAGAACGAGGGGACCAAGATGGACAAAAGATGGGTCGGCATATTCCACCAACTCTTAACGTCCTGGACTGGGCTACTGGGGGCGCGCCCGGTCGCCCCGCAATTCTGCAATTGCTGGTCAGCCATGATCCCCATGCAGTCTCTCAATAGGGCCGAGTGCAGTGTTGCGTCCATCGCATATCAAGCAATGCAACTCGTTCAGAGCTTCAGTCTTGGACCCCGATGCTTTTTAAATTGACGGAGAAAGGACAACAGGAAAAGAGTAGAGTGAAAAGTTGTGACGTGCGCATGTTCGTGGATATGATTCATATCGCCATAAGGCTTTATCTGTCGTTATCTCTTTACCGGTGCTCGAGCGCCTGCCATCCCACATCCCGTTACTGCAGCCCCCTCATCCCGTCACACTTCCGGATGTGCCCTTTCAGACTGTGCTTCGATGAGAGCGACCTCCCACATTTCGAGCACCAAGGAAGCATTTTCGCCCCCTCGTGTCTGTTCGACCTGTTAGCTTGGTATCGATTAAGCCCAGTTCGACCTCGGCTTACATTGAAGCACAATGATACAATAAGCTTCCCTGTTTTGTGTATCGCTTTGTACATCGTGTTTCCCCGTCCGGATAAACAAAATTACAACAGAACCGCTGTTTCTCGACAGGATTGGGGTCTATGTAAAATTTGAACCCGTCATCACTGTGAATGACGGAAGCATGGTTCAGGGCCCCTTCCAATGTTGTGTATCGTTTCGTGCATCTTGTTTGGCCATCCGGATCAACAAAGTTACAACAAAACCGCTCTTCCACGCATGGATTGGGGTCTATGTAATATCTGAACCCATCATTACTACGAAAGAAGGATGTTAGGTTGCTCAGGTCCTAGGCTGCCGCTTGGTTTCGTTGTCACTCACGCAAAGGCCAGGCTATACGAGGCTCCGTCTGTGTCTGCTGCATCGTAGCCACTATTTGTAGGATCAAATGGAACGCTGCCGGTCACAGATGAAGCGTCGGGTGGTTGGAGGGACGCGTTGTCGCTATGTCGGTAACTCTGTGTGGTGTCCGCTGGAGTTACTGGGGCATAAGGTTGCACACAGAAAGAGACAGGACCGCGGGCCTCTACATTGGATCCGCATACGTAACCGTTCATGACGTTGTCCGCACCACGTGTCTCCGTCCACGACGCCATTGGGTCAGACGGGATGTCGGCGACTGGCTGCAAAGCGTGACCATGATGCATTGGCTCAACGATACCGGCTTGAACACCGTGGTAAGTATTCAACTCAAACCATGAGGCATCTTCCGGCATATAACAGTTGCTTGTCTGGACTGTGGAGAGTAAGTAGTCTTGCAATACTCCACCTCGGGCATATGCTTGATGTGATGTACATGGCTCTGACATCATGTTAGGTAATAAAAGGCCATGATGTGGGAAGGGAACACACCTCTTGTTCATCCATTGTGCGTAGACGTGGTACAGAAGGAAACAAAGCAGGGCAACTTTAAAGTGACGATTTTGGACAACACCAAGACGTGGGAAGCATTCGGAAGATATCCTGCCAAGTTGCGGCCGCGCAACCTCTCTGCAGAAATGTGACAATGCCATGTCCCAAAAGCGCCTCGACCAACGCCCAACATGGACTCGCCAGGGGACTGACTGACTTGATAGAAACGACTGAACATCCTGCATCATGTTGACCATGCTGGAGTTGGGGCAGGCAGACGGCCGAACCAGTACCGGTAACGAGTGACTGTATACATGCACCTGTGGTTACGACTGTTGGTCGTGTTGCAAAGTGAACAGCGCTGTTTCTACTCGGCCTGGGCTCCGGGCGTCAAGCCCCCGGGGAGCCAAGTTCACCCATCACTCTGGAAGAACATCCGTTTGCCATCGCCCGCACATATTCGGATTTCCACAGGTTCGTGAGTTGACAAAGAGTTCGGTATAATATTTACAGATGTGCTTTGAAAGCTCAAAACCACCTTGGCTATCCTTTGCGGGGAGGGGCTGAAAAGCGCGTGAGAAGACAGGTGTTGGCTAGAGTCGGGCTCGAAGCTTACCCATGTCAATGCAGGAGGAGTCTTGAACGAGATAACAGTCCACAAATCTTGGCCAATCTATTGGCTCGGAGACACAACTAACCAACATCTATTTCACACCCCGAGGCCGACCAAAGCCGTGACAAATTGAGTGTCAGGGCGCATTGATGGTCAACACACCCCAAGGCGTCAATCTTGTGTGCCACTTTGGGGCTCTGCGATAGTCGCCTTTTGAGTTCTTGGTGTTGTCTGCCAGTCATAGCCACTGTTATTTACTGCTGCTCCGCAGTACGCACAACAAACCCATGTCGCTATCAGGGAGATTTCAAGTAGATCTTGCTCCAGCTGGTACCCCATACGGAAATACGCCGTTTACGGAGGGCGCCAAATCAAGGCGCCCTGTCACACAATGCCAGTTGGTTTGAACAAGCAAGGCTGCAGCCGCGCCGCGCGCACTAAGCAACATTCTGCGCACGCGCGTCTGGGTCACCCTTTCCTTCCTTTTTTCTTTTTCCTCGGCATTTGCACTTCCAGTCAAGACCGCGACCCTCAGTGTTGTCGGCTCCAACAAACGAGGAATAGCCGTGTGTCGCCCTTCGCGCGTATGATGCGACTCAACATGTTTCCTCGGCCATAATACTTTGAGAGCCCTTCCAATGGAGAGTTTCCAAGCACTCGCTGCTCCAATCCTTGTACAAGATTTGAACAGGGCACACGGATTCACGGCTCAAAGAAGGTGCTCGTTCGTAGTCTAGCTCAGATCTCGAAATTTTGTGGACTCCCCTGTCGAGACGCCAAATGCCAGATGGACCACTTTACTTTGGTTTGAATGTGAAGA